CGCATCAATATTCTCTCAGCAAGATCCATGATAGCAAATTAAATTTTGGAGGTATTGTGAGTCCTGAAAGCTTTTACTTTTACTCAGTTAAATCATAACAATAAATCATTTCGCCTTTGTCGGCTCTAAGAAGTAACAATAACCTGTATTTTAATAAACCAAGGAAAATCGAAACAAGTAGATCAAAGAAATCCCACTTCTGAATACAAGACTTTATTTGATTTTTAAGTTTTGTCTCTAAATAACAAATTCAAACGTTTTTCTTTTGAGAAAAAAAGCTCTTTTAACATATCATACAGGTGTAGATATCTTTTCTCTACTCGGTAATCGAATCAGCAGGTCAATTCGCAAACTAAATAATTTTAATTTGAATATGTTTTCAGGTAGGTTTGCATTAACGAAATAATGAAATATCTTTTAGAACGGATCGATAGGTAGGGCAGTTTTTCAAAAGGGTATTTTTAAAGCTAAAAATAAGAGGTATATCAGGAACTAGAGGAATTTTACAAAGGGGAAAACAGTTAGGATTCAGTTGTTGGATTAACAGTCGAGCAAACAGTATTGCTAGTATCTATAAGAAAGAAGAACTCATTTTAACGTGGAAGGTCAATTCTTACTGTTCTACACTTAAAATTTTATGTCGATTCAGTGGAAATATTCAACCGTTCTCTGATGACACGTTCGACGTGTTCTCGCATCCCCAATAAACCAAGATGGTGAAAAGCTGTTCGCCTTCACCTTCCTTAAAGCTTTCTTGCAAAAAATGGCTTTTCAAATTCTACTGTTACTTAATCGTTTTGAAGTGAAAGGAAATTGAATTCGTTGTTGAAGAAACCGACCGTGTGGTTTTCATAGGCTACAACAGGGGCTAAACGTGTGCTAACTAATACATAGCATTGAACATTAATGAATAGCATTCACTAGTGATATATTTCTTGTTGGTGTGAGGATATCTTGATCTCCACACGGATGTTACTAATTCAATAGAAAGCTGACTAATAGTTGAGGTTTCCCATAAAGATTTCTGAGATATTGACTGGAACTAGCCACTTGCAAAGCAAAGTTGTCAGACGAACGTGCTTGTTGAATGATACTCGGAAAACCACTCTCAAAGGGTTATTCCTCTTTTCGTAAAACAATACATCGTTTCCTAGGTTTTTTGATTATCTAAAGCAAAAGTTAAGCGGGGGGTCACAAACATCTGTTGTTAGACAAACGGTACTCATACTTACAGATGGTCTCCGAGTTATTCGTAATAAGACGCATTGCCTGTACTGGTATCAAGTGAAAGATCAGATCAGATACGGCGACCTTGGCAACTTGAGAAAAACTCTTTAAATCTAACTCCACAGCGATTTAAGAAAAAAAGTGTACATCTATGTTTACTCACGTGTTTGGGCTATTTAAAGAAGACAAATGTTCTGCATTTAATGACTTTTGTCACTTTTGAAAGGTTTGTTAATTAAACACTGCATACATTGTGAAGAGATCCAGGAGTCTTTGCGGAGAAATTTGACTTAAATTGCTACTACTCGTGTTTGCAAACAGCACTAATTTTACGCGGGGGTATTCCTCACCTTATAAAACATTTTGTCAGCAAAGGTTATTTGTCCGCCTTTTAGAGGGCCTTTCGCTCTCTTAGTGACTTCTACTATGGTTAAATGTTAATACATTGGTCGTTTATTTATATAGTTGACGATTAAAACCTTTTCTTTACAGGAAAGATATTTTTCTTATCTAAAACTGTCTTTCAATTTGAGTTTTTAGCTCTCTCAAGATCACCACAGCCTGAAAAAATGTCCTTCATTAATATTTACAATAGGTTTGTTCACGATACATAAAAGTCTCAACCAAAGGCCTTGGGACAATGTCCAATGTCTGACGTCCGATGTCCGATGTCCGACGTCCAATGTCTGATCTGATGTTCTGTGTCTGATATCCGATTTTCGATGTCCAATGTCTGATGTCCGATACTTGAAGTCTGATGTCTGATGACTAATGTCCGATGTCCAACCCCCGATTTCCGAATTCCGATGTGCGATGTTTAATTTCTGACCTCCTATGTCCGCTGTCTGATCTGATGTCCGATGTCTGATGTCCGGTGCCCGATGTCTGATGTCCGATGTCCGATGTCTGATGTCTGATCTCCGATGTCCGATGTCCGATGTCCTGATCTCCGATGTCTGATGTCTGATCTCCGATGTCCGATGTCTGAAGTCTGATGTCTGATGTCTGATGTTCGATGTTCGATGTTCGATGTCTGATGTCTGATATCTGATGTCTGGCCTCTGATGTTCGATATCTGATGTCTGAGGTGTAGCGTCTGATGTCTGATGTCTTATGCCCGATATCTGATGTCTGTCTGATCTCCGATGTCCGATATCTATTTAACAATTATTCCTCGAGCCCGAATGGGCTCTGAGTCAATAGCCCATGAGGCCTTCGGTCTCATGGTCTATTCACCCAGAGGCCATAAGGGCGAGAGGAATAACTTTTTTAGTAAAATCTAACTAGTTGGTAAAAAATATCGAGACAAAACAACTTTAGCTAAATAAGGCTAGACTTAAATTCTTTTTTAGACTGTTCACAGTCCCCTATTTTTTCGTGAGATCTTTGGGATATAGCGCGTCTATTACAGTTAATGATGGCCATCTTGATTTTCAAATGTACCGAGGGAACGGGCGTCGGGGATTATAGCTCTAGGGGGAGTGGGGTGAGAAAAATAGAGCATTTTTTCATTTAGACTATTTTTCTCGCTTCCTCCCAAACTGCCTCCGCCCCTTGAGTAGTTTGACACTCATGCAAGGGGGCAGCCCGTAACGGAAAGCGCTCGATCTTGACAATCTTACGGAAAAATAGAGCACTGTGAACAGTCTAACCCTTTTTTGCCACCAAAAAGCTGGTGCTTTTCGCTGCTAGTGGGCTATAGCATATAGCCTAGTAGTAGCTCAACCAATCAGAACGCAGCATTGATAATAGACCACTAGTTAGATTTTACTAATGTCTGGTGTCTGATGTGCGATGTCTGATGTCGGATGTATGAAGTCTAGTGTCTGACGTCTGATGTCTTACGTCCGATATCTGATGTCTGATGTTCCTTGCCCAAACGTAATTGGAGGAATCAGCGACTGCCTCGGCAAGGATATGCAGCAAGGCTAGTTGGTGTGGTCACTGCCACCAAGGGAGTTAAAAGGGACGAAAAACACTTCCTGCAGCCAATCCTGTCAATCCCGAGATTTGGTATTACGTTGGTTAGATTTGTTACATAAGACTGCAAAGGATCATGATGGACTTCGATTGCGGAGAACTCTTGGATTGGTGGAACGCAGGTATGTTTCCCAGACCCGCTTACCATATATGCAGTGAGAACACTCGCCCTTTTGAATGTATATTCAAAACATCATCATTCCCTTTTATTTAGTCCACCTCTCAAGATATTGTCCTTAATCGATGGGTTAACATGAATAATTTTTTAAAAGTAATTTGATTTTTGCATAGTCATTGAGAGCTTTCACCGAAATTCTTGATTTGGTTATGAAAAGGCGAGTATTGTTGAGAATTGGACCCCCCTCGGAAACCAAAGCTCCGGAAATGTGAAACTTTTTGAAGAAATTCTATGAATTTTAGGGCGAAATTCGAGTGGTCCGTTCTTAAACGGACAGCCTCTTTAGAATGCTCGAGAACCTAGCGAACAAATACCGAGACCATCTGCTTCGTGACTTGCGTCAAGATGCGTCTTGGCTAAGACGAGAAAAACTTGGTATAACTGACCTTCGCTTTTTCGCATCTCATATAAGACACGAACCTGTAGTACGCATGCGTTATTTAAAGCTTGAGCGGGAACATTTTTGCCTGCTCCGCCGCTTACTGGTGCCTTTTCGTTTCCACGGGTTGTTTTTGATATCTACGACTTTTTATTTGTTTCTTCGCATTTCATTATTATGGGCACGCCAGCAAAAGAGAAAAGAATTATTTTGTAAATTGAAAAAGATACAGGCTTTTTGTTGCTGTTTACAGAGGAGGCAATCTTAATGTTTTCGTAAGTAGGAAGTTTCTTGGTGTTGCGGATGAGTGCGATCATCAAATGGCGTGATACAAATTATTCAAAAGACACTGAACGATACCCAATTTTTTATTTTTAACTTTTTTTTATTTTGTAATTTTTCTATTTATTTTTTTTCGTTTAAATTATTTTTTATTGTTTTACTTTTTAATGTAAACTAGGGAGCAACACTATGCAAACTGTCGCTGTAAAACTTGTTTGTTCTCCTACGCGTTTCGTCTACCTAACGTAGACGTCTTCAGGGCGTTTCACTTTCAAACATTTAACGCCTGCTTTTAAACCATAACTTATTACTTAAAATAATGATGTTCGTAAACACTGAAGAGTTTGGCCGGATTTACGAAAGGGGACAAGCGCAGTTTTTTACAGCGACGGTTTGTAGAGTGCTAGTCAGCTGACTAGTTTAGTTTATAAAAATAGTAATTGTTAGAAGCAAAGACTCCCTCATCCTCATCAATCTCGCCTCTGCAATAAATCACAATATGACACCGACACCCCGTAACTTTGAAACAGGCGCCATGTTGAATTGCCGTTGTTACGGGCGACATTGACATTAAAACGAGTCCAGGAACAGAAATAAGAGGGGAACTGGACGTAAACCATTTTTAAAGTAGACCTGCACCGTTCTAAACCTCTTATTTCACTGGTCCCCTTTAATCTTGTTTTCCCGATCAAAAACAATCTTTCAAATAGGTGCGGGGTCACTCACCAAAAATCCCTTTTAGGTAAAACATGCTCGTATAAATATTACAGTTTAGGTCTATTTGGGACTTGTCTTATTTTTATCGTTTAATTTTTTTTTCGCGTGTAAGTGGCCCTGATGTAAATGATAGAAACTGAAAAGTAGAAGTATTACAATAGCATCGATGCGTTTAAATGCTTCACTTGTTTTTTCTCATTATATGGCTGTGTCGTATGACTCTGAAGCTTTGCCAGTTCAGTTTTTCATTCTCTCTTTCACAGCCTCGTCAAATAGTTTCTTCCTACAGTAATAGTTCAATCCTCCATGAACGGAAAAAGTTCCTTCAAAATGTTCACACGACCTAATTCGAAACCCCGGATGGTGCATAGGAACAGGTCCTCCTATCTTCTCTATCAACATTCCTACATAAACATCTTCATTTTGAAAGGTCTTTTTGACGTCGAGTAATTCTACCAACTTCACGACCAGATCAGATGATAACACATACGCTGGTCCGTTGCAGTACGGCGGATAAAGGCTTTTATCGTATTTCTCCAAGGATACTCCATTCTTTCCCCACCGACGTACCGCAGAACGGTGTTGACAACGTCCCATGTAAAGGTTTCTCTGACGTGTATCGGGTTTTTGCAGATATTCCACCAGGTTAAAAGGATTGATGAAGACATCATCATCTGTCTTGAGCAGGAATTGAAAATCACAGTATCTTGCCGCCCACTCTAGACCCATTTGTGTCTTTAATGTTAGGTTGTAGTAATGTTCATTTTGAGATCCTCGAATGATATCCTTGTAAGTTGCTCCTTCAGCTTCTAAGTATTTATTCTGGGTCCTGTTGTTTGCGGCTTGACCGAGAAGAAACACCGTCTTCCAGCTTGGTGGGAATGATGGATCGGTCCCCCACGTCCTCCGAATTAATGTTCTTCTGTCCATATTACCAGGGGCAGTAAATACTGCAATCAAAAGGAATACACTTTGAGTGCAACGAGTCCGTGTTATCAGATATGACCGGTGTGGAACAGATTCTTGTCCGATATAATTTGCAGACAGTTTCAAAGGGTCAGGTAGCCCTATTTTAGAATTTATTGCACGTCTGTTTTTGTTTATCCTGTTAGGGTCAACGAGGTAGTAGATAATGTAGCAGAAGACCCACCCAGATAAAATAATGCCCATCCACAGTAAAAGGTGACGGTTAGCTTTCTTTGATAATGAAACCACGCTTTTTGCAAGAGTAGATCCTAGTTTCATCTTATTTTGAGTCGGCGTATAATGTCATGATATTCTTTAAACTCTATTTTACAGCTTTCAGTTGTGACAGCAGCTGCAGTATTAAACTGAGTTGCCAGTTTCAAGGCGCGAGTCTACACCAAAAGCCACCTTATGGTCGTCCCTGTAAAAAAAAATACAGAATGAATAAAAAGAGTTAAGTTTTGTTCTTTCCCCTTGAGCAAACTATATCCCTCCACCGGGGTATCTTTCAACTTTTGTACGGTCCGTTTTTAGAGAGGCTAAGCAGCAGGTTTACGTCAAACGGCAAAAGCGAATTTGTACCACGTGACCAAGTTTCCCCTTTGCTTGTCGCCTACTGTTAATTATTTCTACACATAAATAAGTAATTTCACGCAATTTTTTATCCATGCGAATTTTCTGAGCTGTTTTTATCTGCTCATTTTCTATTTTGAGAAATTCTCAACTTGAATCTGATGTTTGCTGTATATGTGGTGAGCGCCAAGCATGAATATATACAGGCTGCTCTCAGGTGTGAGTCATTATGCGATCCTAGCCAGCTGATGCGTTGAACACGATTGTAAGCTTTTCTTGTCCCATCCCTCCTTCCCTGAGGGTATCGCACGGTGGTCTAGGCAATAAAAACCCAGAGAACCCCACAGAGAGTTGTGTATTTAAAGCTTAAATTCTCTTTTAAGCAATTCGCTACTTAAAGAATTACAAGGTAAATGGAACCGAAATGTGTCTCACAATTCTTTCCAGGATCATTACCGGGAATACGCAAGTTAGTTATTACCGAATTTACCGCGAACCTCTCACTGCTGGACGTCACGTGACAAGTCTTTCGCGTCACGTTTGGGGTTTACTACATGTGTTTTCAACGTGAGGAGGTAGGTTTTCACGTATGTCATTTACCTGAAAGCTTTTAGCGTATACTTCTTGTTTTATCCCAAGTAATGATACAAACATCTTGTGGAACAAGTCTTAATCCATTTACAGAGGCACAAATTCGGACGAAATGCTAAATTTGATAAATCCTATTGGATCTTGAAAACAAGTGCCATTCATGGCTGCTGATTTAAAAATATGGCGGCCATAATCTAATCCAACGCCAATCTAAATCGAAATACCGCAAACGGCAAACGGGTAACCGCTAACTGCAGTTAGAGGTTCGCAGTCAACTCGGATTAAAAACTTTCTATTGATTATTTTCTATCTCCTTTGCAACAGTCCCACAAGTCTTTGGGAGAGTTAACTCGTGCCAGTTTCTCTCTCGTATCTAACGTGGCGATAGGGAACTATGCTTGTAGTTACATAGTACAGTGTTTGAGCTCTTTCTAGTTGAAGGGCATTAGATAAAGCATTAAAATAGCGCTAAATGGGGCTATTTGAAGGGGCAGTCTGGTTAAAAGCATTATTTTTCGTTGATTTCTACACTAATAATTTTTCGGGAATTTTGGATGATTTTTCGAATGTCTTTAATTTTCAACAATTAAGGGGGGCTGTTTCAGATTTGGGAATAATTAGAAAATATTGGATTTGGGGGTTGTTAAAAATTAAAATATGAAGTGAATAATTAGTAGACAGTAACCAGATAGTCCACCACCACAACAAGGTGTCTCTGATCCCATAAGTTGACTAATTGGTTTAACTGGTTTACGTGCATACCTTTTCTACCCTAGTTTATTCCTTCCCAAAACAACATCTATTCTCCCAAAAAAACAACCGTAATGCCACCTTAACTGCAAGCTCCTGCAGTCATATTTAAACATGACGTGCGGGTTTCATTACCTTGCTGCTTCAAGCACGCTCCGACAGTCAGAAAACCCAATGGTTATTTTAAATAATTTATTGAATAAAAAACTCAGTACAGTTCAGTACAGTAAAACCCCGCTTTGCAGACACCTGCTTAGTACGGACGCCGCAATATTAAGGACAATTTGCCTTGTCCCTGGGAAAGAATGCCTTTATATTTTCTCTGACTTCAACCCACTTAATACAGATACTCCGTTAATATGGACACTTTCTATAGGCTTCTATAGCCCTATCGATGTCCGAATAAACGAGGTTTGACTGTATATAGTCGAGAGGCGTTTAAGGCCATAGCTGGTTCTACCTTGTGAGCTCGGTAGGCTCGATTTCCGCCGTCTCCTAGGTCCGGTCTTTGATCCTCCCCGAAGAGAGACTTCGGGGGGGATGAGTGCATGCTCATTTTCTCGAACAGCAGCTGGTAATCGAGCCGAGCCTACTTTATCGGCGTATTTTCAGTCCGAATAGGTTCTAACGAACTGAACTCGACACAGCATTTGTGCGATTATCGGAGGCGAAACGAAGAGTGGAGGCCAAGTATATATTCAAGGTTATACAATTTAATTGTTAAAGGAGATTACATGAGCAAGGCCTAAGGTCAACTGAACTATTGTACAATCATATCAGGATATATAAGTTGAGCGCGGTTGCTAAGTAAGAGGATTAAGGGCTAATCCCACAGCATTCTTAAATTTAAGAAAGCTCTTGCAGGTGCGCCAAACAGCTGGGAATAGAGTCCATTACTACGTATGATAAAAGTTTCCTTACAGCAGAACTACTTGTCGTATTAAAATACGATATTATAATGCCGGAAATTTCCAATATGCAATTCGCCAAAGTGAACTCCAAAAGCTCAATCACCTGCCGATTACTTACCCGACGGTATGCCTAGCGAATGTTTGTTGTCGTTTTAACTGTAAATTGTCTCAGATGAGTGTTCTCAATTTCTAAATATGTTTTACTTCGAAGCACTTGTTTCAAAAATTACGTTAACAAAAGAAACAACAGGTTCTCGAAATTAAAGATCTGTGACGCACGTTCTGTCTTTTGTGTGTTCTGCATGCAAGGAAACACTGGACAGAAGTTGATTCAAACATAACTAGACTCGTTCATAGTTTCTCCTCATGATAACGTCAGCTTCTTTAGGCTTCGTTGTCACATCAACTTATATTTTAATTAACACCTCTTGTAACGTTTTATTTTTATGTTATGTGAGCGACTAAAAAACAAAAAGCAAAACAAAAATACGCAATTTATAAAAGTAAGCTTAACAAAAAACTCAAAGAATACTCAGATCTGGTATTTGGTGGTGAAAGAGAAACTTTAAGCGAGAAGTTCGTCAAAACATCAGCTTTGGTCGGCTTTAGGTGATCGAACATTAGTACTTACAATACCCACGTTCGCTAAAAGCCTTCCACGGAAACAGGGTGTACGACACTGAGACCTCTTTGGGTGAGCCAATCATAGAGAGTTCCCAAATTTTATTTTTTCACCGCATGACGCTTTGTTTCCCCGCTGCCATGTTCTTTTGTATGGTCGCAACGCGAATTAAACCCCAACATGCCTTCTCTACTAGCCCTATGGATAAATCCCCCTAAAACCGTCTGTAATCCTCACGAATTACAAACACGTTTCTGCAACATAATTGACTGAATTGACATTAACATTTCTCGCTTGGCTGAAAGCAGGAACATAAAACGGATAAATCTGAACTTACCAGACTAACGCTATAAGACACAGTCACTGTCTTTTTTTTTGTCAACTGAAAGAAGATGTGAAAAAAAATACAAATTCCTTCTATTTCCTTAACAAACATTCCTCATCTTACATGACAACCCCAATGTTGCTAAGGAGACAAACCAGTGGCTTGCTGTAAACAAAATTAAATTAATACATCAGCGCCTCTCCTGGCCTCGCCTTTCCGGTAGACATTCTTAAAATAGGGAGCTTTAGCATTGACGACGGCGACGGTAGCGAAAACGTCACTTTTAAAATGAATTCGCGCTTTTTCAAACTTTGTCGCGCTTATTCCAATTCCCTGAAAATGTCAAACGTAAGAGAATTTCCCTGGAGCTGATTTCTTGGGGACCACACTCAAGTTTTGAAAGAGAAAGAACAATAAGTTGTCGCCTGTTTACGTCCACCATAAAACGTGAAATTAGGCATTTTCACTTCGTAGTCGTGCAGGGACCGCAAAGAAATGTACAAAAAAGCGTGATGCATGTACAAAGTTGTTGTTTTTTTAATCAAACCTATTGCTTTTGCGACGTTCTCGCTGCCGTCGGCGTCGTCGTTGCTAAAGCTCCCTAATGTCTGCGGGGAGGCTACTCCCTGGCCTTACTTTATGACCTAGGTGAGTGAGTTATTAACTTTCTTCCCGCTCCTGAAATTTTCAAAACAGAAACATCACGAAGTAATTTTAACATTTTCAAGGCGTGGAAAGAGAAGAAGGCCATGGTGGAGAATAAAATGGACAATAAAATGTCTGGATAGTTGCAACAATAAAGATAGCCGCAAAAAACATGACAACTTTCTTTAATTTACCAGACTTGTTTCGACTATACATCCTTCACCACAGGTGGCCCAAGCGTTATATGGGCCACCTGTGGCGTAATACATCTGACCTGACAGTGTAATAATAAGAGTCTCTTATTATTACACAGACAGGTCAGATGATGTTAAAGTACTCGAATCGCGCTGAAACTTCGTAAAAACAAAGACAACGACTCCAGGTAACAATATTTACACTTTATCGATAACTTTTATCGCTTTTACTTTATTTATTTCATCTAAGTTTGAAACTCTATTTTCCCATACAAACTCTCATATTACGCCACCACAGGCCCATATTACGCTTGGGCCACCTGTGGTTTCACCTGCTGGTTGAGGTCGGGTTT